GAAGGTTTCCCACCCAAATACTCAAATGCGAGCAAAACTACTAAAGTGGCTGATGGTGCAGTTGCAGTCTGGCTTCTGGTCCTTGGTCGTGCCTCTTCATCAGTTTGTGTTTTTGTCTGTTTTCTTTGTTTTCTTTGCGGATGTTTGGTGGTGACATCCTGTGTGGCTCTTGTGAGTGTGGGCCTGGTGTCATTCATCATGTTTGGGACTCGTTTATCAATAAGGGCAGGCTTCCAAATGGCTGGCAGGCAGGAGGTATCGTCCCGCCTGTTCATGTTGTGTGGGCGTTTTTCTATCTCGATGTAGAGATAGAAAAACGCCCACACAGCATGAACAGGTGGGACGATACATTTTACCCAATCCATGACATCTGGTGAATGACATCAAGTTGGCCATGCCCACCCAGTCACATGATCACCACAAAATAGACCACACCCACAGAATAGGTAGTAAAATTTTTGAAACCACCCTTGTCTGGGGATCTCTTGGTATGCATGATTGTCTTCCCAAAGTTTCCATTAATGACCAGGAATCTTGCGGAAACTTGTCCTACTGTCCCGTCTTGCCAATCTTCTCAAACAAAAACAAAACTCTTGAAACTCTTGAAGCATTTTAAAAGGAACTTTTATTGAAAGACAGTGATAGCAAGGAGATCTAGGCAGGATCTGAGGTTTCCTGCTCAAAGTGCTAAATTAAACTATTGCAAGCAAAGCCCCTCCCAATGTCCAGTCCGTCATCGAGTCAATCGCAGTTGGCAAAGATGTTTTGAGAGCCTTCGGCACAGAAGATGATATCTGTCATTCAGCAGCTTCAGATTTGCTTTCTCCATCGCTGAGATGGTTTCAGCCGCATTCCGTTCCTCTCCCTAGGACGACCCGAGGCACATTCCTTCCCCCTCCTTATTTCCTCAAGGTCCCGTACAACAAAACAAGTGAAAGCCTGCAGAAAAATCCCCCTCAAGACTCCCCGCTCCCAACAGAACGGCAGCATCCCAATAGCTACAACTATTGTACTGTACAACTACTGTAGTCTCTGGATTGTTGTTTTTACTGTAGCTTGGATATCTGGGATGGAGAGAAGGCAGTAGAACCTCTTTACAGTTAGATCCTTCGCAGTAGATTTTCTTTGATGAGGAGGATAATTATAAATTATGAAGGTTAATCTTCCTATAAGCAAACATCTTGTCAATTAAAAGAATCTAGTGGTTTTTGTTCTGGTCCAACTGTAAGATCGCTCTTCTCAGGCAGATAAATATCCATGCAGAAGACATGCAGCACAAAATTAGTAAATATTTTCCAGAGATTTGAATAAACATGTTAGGAATTGGAACCTTTTGCTATATTGGAATCAATGTCAGTCATAACAAACAGATCACATCCTATAAGCAAACAGAAAAATGGTACAAACTTATGTACAGTGATACTTCGAATCCTGGTTTTCTATTACAGAACACCCCCCCCCCCACCATCCTTTTTTCATACCCTCTTATCCCACCTGCATGTTTATATTTTCTGCGTTCCTGTGCTTCTGTGTAGACCGTTTCTACGAAGTAAGCTGAGAATTGTCATGCCATTATTGAACACTGATAAAGAATTTGCACAGTGATATTTATCTTATTGGAGAAATAAAATACCCAGTTTACATATTCTTGAATTATATAAGTTGTCTAATTTAACAATCTCATTTTTAGGGACACCACATAAATATGACCCAACTTTCAAAGGCCCCATTTATGACAGGTAAGACTACCCTGTTGGTAAAAGTTTTGAGATTTTTGCTATTATTTTTCAGTGCATTACGGTATGTCCAGAGTGACCGTTTATTGCCATCTGCTGATTCCCTTTGGGAAATAATGAAAAGATAACTATTGAAAGTCCTGGAGGGGGTCTTGATTATTTCTTTGGAACGCTTAGGGTGGATTTAGACCTGAAACTCTTCTGGCTTTGTGCATGGACATAATTTGTTTTCCAGCTATAGTATTATTTAATTATAATACAAAGATGATAATATAATTTTACTGACATTACTGGCATATGATCAGAACAACATTTCAATTTGTATCTTATATTACAAAATCCATAAATAATTTCATCAGCCACCATTTTATTTTTATGGGGGTCACATTAGTTGCCTTATTCTGATGATCAGACAAATATTTGTTCTGTAGGTTCTTAACCAATTATTATCATGCTAACTCATGAATAGCTATTGAACCGAGATTGTTCTTATTCTCTGATAATATGTACGTTTCTGTTAGTTTAAATGTTAAATATTGCAAGGATAATTCAGATTTAGGGTAGCTTATAAACAAAAATTAAAATAACCATCCAATACCACTCTGAGTGATTGTTGTTTTTTTCTGACTGAAATTCTAACATTACTAACTTCAGGAAAAGGCTTCAGCAATTACCGTGCAGGGAAAACATTGTTTTTATACTAAAATCCCTCTGATTAGCTTTTCTTTAGCCTGCCCCAGCTGTGGGAGGCCTAAAGCAGTGTTTCTCAACCTTGTCAACTTGAAGATGTCTGGACTTCAACTCCCAGAATTCCCCAGCCAGCATTCGCTGGCTGGGGAATTCTGGGAGTTGAAGTCCANCGGCACACTAGTGTGCCGTGACATAGTGTAAGGTGTGCCGTGGGAAAAAAACCTGCCTATAGTCAATATAGGCACAGAGTTAAATTTTTTTAACATTTTCTAATGGTGGTGTGCCTCGTGATTTTTTTCATGAAAAAAGTGTGCCTTTGCACAAAAAAGGTTGAAAAACACTGCTCTAAGACAGTCTTTCTCAACCTTGGCCACTTGAAGATGTCCGGACTTCAACTCCCAGAATTCCCCAGCCAGCATTCGCTGTTTTCTGTTTAAAGTTACCTCATTTCTGCATGTTTACTTCTTGAGACAAATGCTCCTGCCCTGAATTCTAATTTAACCTTTTTCCCCCCTCTCTCTTTTTGCCTGCAGTAACAGTTTATCTCTTCTTTCTCCTTACTCCCTACTGTTTACACTATCCCATCTCCAAGGAGAGTACAATGTGTCCCCTCATGTCTACAGCCAAAGCAATGCTCTGATACGGACCTTTTGCAACACATTTCACCTCTGTCACAACCATGAAGTTGCATGACTTCTAGGGGGGTTTTTTTTGTAAAAGGTTTTTTATTTCCTTACATATACAGGTATAAATTCACAGTTATTATTATTATTATATTTATCATTTTTACACATTTATTTCTCCATAGAAATATGTGCATTCGAGATTGCTTTGCTTACCATCCCATACGCCTATTTTATGTTGTCCCTACCCTACTTTTCCTTCCTTTTCTCCCTCCCTCCCTTCTCTACTTCCTTCCTTCCTCCTTTCCTTTCCCTTTCCTTCTTCCCCTTCCTCTCCCTCTCTTTCTCTTCCTGCCCTCTCTCCTTCTCTTCCTATCCCTCCCAAGCTCCCTCTCCTTTCCTCGTTCTTCTTTCCCTCGCCTTTTCTCTCTTCTCTTCCCCTCTCCTCTCCCTCTGCCTCCTCCCTCGCGCACCCTATTGCCTTGTAAGTCGCTTGAACTTGCCAGGCAATGGGATGTGCAGGCGTGAAGAAGATGGCGGCGAGGGTAGCCGCTTTTTCACCAAGGAGAGGACTTTTCAGTGGCTTGTGGCCAGCCACTTCAGAGGTGGGGGGGAGGAAGTGGGGAAAGAGGGGCAACTAGCAAAGTGGGGGGCGGGGATAGATAGGGGAAAATCCTAAAAAAAATCTACCTTTTCCTGTGGCCATGGCTGGGTGTGGGGGGGGGGTATGTGATTGAGTGGGCATGGGTGTGAGTGTTGTCACATTGGCCATGCCCACTCAGTCACATGCCCCTCTAACCCAGGCATGCCCATCGAACTAGTAGCTAAAATTTTGGAACCCCACCATTGGAGAGCTCAGTTAATTTGTTGCAGCAAAGCAATAAAGCTGTGGCACAAAACATTTTATGTGATCTACTATCCGATGAAAGGTTTTGTGGGTGCATCACAAAGGCAGCCGTACTACTGGAGCCGAAATAAAGAATGGAATCAGAAGGAAATGCAATGGAGAAAGATTGCTAAGGGTGCCAGATCTAGGCTCCAAAAGTGCGCCTGGCCGCTAGGTGGAAACAGAGAGCTCTCCGGGTTAAGAATTGTGTGGATCCAGCCAATAGTGGCGTCTTTATCATTTAAGTATGATTTGCTTCACAACTTATCAAGTTTGGTCCTCGAAACATTTTGATGTGAAAATATTGTCCCAGTACTCATCGTTTGTTTGGGACTCAACAAACAATGAGAATTGCTGCAAAAGAAAATGGGGGACAGCTGCAGAGAGTGGATAGGAATTTGGCTTGGAAGGTTGCTCAGGTAAGAAAAGGGATAGATCGGAAATCCTTCCCAGTTGAAACAAAGGTTCATGTGGTAAGTAACATGGTCTGTTTGGTACTCATCCCTTTTAATAATACATCATGTCCCCCAAAATCAATTGAGGGTGAATACCAAGGTACCCTTGTATTAATCTACTTGAAACTCCAGGATGACCAACTCCAGCCTTTGTAATGAGAGTCTATTTCATTCTGATTATCCCACTCTGTCTCACTTCCTTTCATTTTGTTTTCAGGTTTTGCAAGAGAATTCAGGCAGGATGGAGAAGAGTAGAATCAGGAAGTAAAAGTTTGTAGCAAGATGATTGTGGCAGCCTAAGATAGAGATAGTGGTTATGTAATGAACCACCGCTCGGTTTGAAACTACTAGAAAGAAAAAGCAAGAACTGCTCTGGGAGAGCAGAGAATTTGCATAGAGGGCATTTCATAGTTTTTCTATGGCTTTGTCCTAATAGACAGTAAAATTCCTCATATCTAGCCATGCCAGGTATGAGGCCTTTAGCTGAGCTCAGGTCAAACAGACAAGATGGCTGTGCCAGGCTGTGCATCCAGAAATTTCAACCATATAAGAGTATTTGAAAAGGCTAACATTTTTTGTTGCTGAGCTGTGGTGCACCTACCTATGCTCTTCTTTTGAAAGGGATTTTACTTGTTCCAGTAATTTGAGAGAATAGCAGGATCACTGGAATTCTGTCCGCCTTCAAGTCTTTCCTCTTTTTACAAGAGACTTGAGTCTATAATAAGGCTCTTTTTATAAGAATCTTGCATCTGTACAATCTGTAAAATCAAATGGGATTCATCCTTGGGTATAACAGAGAACATACCTGTCATGATATACTAATAAGAGCTTTCAGTGAAGAGATTTAATTTATTTACACACCGTTACACACTTTCACTACTATTTCTGCTTGAAAATTGTGAAATGCTTCGGCTATTCAACCTGCAGAATTCTTGTCCTTTTGGTTCCTTCTCCTTCATCTACAGTGATATTGCAGAGCTCACCCTGAGCCTTCCCTGCCATAAGCAAAGAATATCTGGAGTAGCTGATAACCTCTTGGTAGATTATTTTTTCCCATCTCAATTAAATCTTTTTCTTTTTCTTCCTTGGATTTTCATTCCCTCTTTCTGTCCAAAGGATCCACAGCTAATTGTTTTGATGAAAAATATCAATGCACAACTTTTACTTCTGGTATCCCAGTTTGCATTAGTTTAAAAGAATAACAGAGCTGGAAGGGGCCTTGGAGTTCTCCCAGTCCAATCCCCTGCTTAAGCAGGAGGCCCTTCACCATTCTGGACAAATGGCCGTCCAATCTCTTCTTAAAAACCTCTCGTGATAGAGCACAACTTGTGAAGGCAAGCCGTTCCATTGATTAATTGTTCCCACTATCAGGAAATTTCTCCTTGTTTTTAAGTTGAATCTCTCCTTGATTAGTTTCCATCCATTATTTCTGCCTTCAGGTACTTTGGAGAATAGGTTGATCCCCTCTTCTTTTTGGCAGCCCCTTAAATCTTGGAAGACTGTTACGTCCCCCCTAGTCTTCCTTTTCATTAGACTAGCTATATCTAATTCCTGCAATCATTCTTGATATGCATTAGCCTTCGGTCTTCTAATCATTTTTATTGCTCTTCTCTGCACTCTTTCTAGAGTTTGGACATATTTTTTTTATCATGGTAATCAAAACTGGATGCAATATTCCAAGCGTGGGTCTTACCAAGGCATTAGAAAGTGTTATTAGCATATTCAATGTGTTTGTTAATTGCTTGGCTTAGTTTAAACAAACTTTTGCTTTAGGGAGAAGCAAAGGAGAAATTGAAAAACTTTTCTTCATCACCTGTAAATTGCCCTAGTAGCAGATTTATCAATTCCTATTTATTTCCCTTTTTTAAGAATTCACTTTTATTGAGGTTTATTATAACATAAAATATAATAAAAACAAAACTTTTAAAAAGAGGGAGGGGAAGTGCAGGGGGGAAAAAGAAAAAAGGTGTTGATTTTCAACTCTATCCAAGGCAATGCTAAGGATATTTAGAGCTTTAAATGTTTATGTTCCATTTAGTTATTACAAGCCAGGCACACAATGATTCAATCTTTGAATTAAAATCCAAGTTTCTTTTTTCCCCAAGCATAAAAACCAGAAGCAACTTCCTAATAGAAACAGGATCAAATAAAATGTCTTTAAAAAAAAGTTACAAAGGGAGGGAGGAGGTCAGATGGAGCCACTTGGCACCTTTCCAGATGAGATGCGATCCCTTAACCTTCCGCGGTTCTTGGGAATCCTGAACATTGCAACCCTGGAATGCTGGAAAGTCTCAGCTCGAGCAAGGCTCGGTGTAACTGGGTGGAGAAAGAAGAGAGCGGATGGGGGCTCCTCTGTTGACACTAGCAGCCAGCTCAAGGATAACCAAAGCATTGAATGAATTCTGCTTAGCTCCCAACACATCAAACTGAAATGCAGCTGAGCATTTTCAGGCTGCCTTGCAAACTCGAAGTTCCAACGAATGGAGGAGGCCAGAAATAGAGATGGAAACCCAAGTCCACTCCCCCCCCCCCCCCCCCCGGGCGCCTCCCTTTTAGAAAAATTCTTGCCCCAGGGGGGGGGGGGGGAGTGGACTTGGGTTTCCATCTCTATTTCTGGCCTCCTCCATTCGTTGGAACTTCGAGTTTGCAAGGCAGCCTGAAAATGCTCAGCTGCATTTCAGTTTGATGTGTTGGGAGCTAAGCAGAATTCATTCAATGCTTTGG